GGACATCTATTGACCTCTCCAAGGTGCGACTCCCATCTTAAGTCTAAAATCTAAATCTAAGTCTGATTCACCCACGTGTAAGACAATTCTTAGCCTAGGACATTTAGCCTAGGACATTTCCTGTTTCCGCCCACATTTTCCAGGCCTATATATAAGGTAAATTAAATCAAGCCAGGCCCTCTTATTTCTCTATCGCTGTCAATCGAGTCTGGACTACTTCATTATATTCTTACTCCTAGAGGAATACCTGGTGGTAAGCCGAACTTAATCACAATTTCCATCTTAATTAGTCTGCATATTTCTCACTGGAGATTATCATGTGTATTTTATTATTTCATTCATATTTAATTAGTGCATTGTGTGTTTCTTACTATCGTAAGTAGAAAACATAAACATGGCATATGTATGTAATTATGTATTGCATTCATCTATTAATGCTACGTTGCTCAATTGATCGTTGATATCACCATATATATATTTATACATCTTATTTTATTTCCTTTATCTCGGCTGACCGCCTTGATAATTTTACTAGCGCACTGAGACTGCGTTTAAAAAAGAGATGAATTATCTCCCCCTTAGTCATTTTACTTGAACGAGAGTTGCGCCACTTGAATGGACACCCTCTCCATACAAGCGCGCTCCATTGTTCTCGGCCGACGGTCGTATGTAAACAAACCGTCATGGTCTCTGACCACCGCCCATCCCCCCCCCTTTTCTCTTTCAACTTATGTTATTTATTTGAGATTATTATTTCCCCTTATATGTACATTTCTATATTGCTACTATCTGCCATCTATTTTCCAAATCCCATTTGTCATCATCTCCTCATTGCACTCAAAAGCAATTTTATCAATCTGACGAATGCACCTCAGTCGAGGGCATCGATAAGATGCATGAGAGACATGTCCTAACTTGTCTTTATTTATCCGCAGCCTCCCTCAGGTGTCTGCCTATGTGCTTAGTGCTATTCAGCACTGCACTTACCTTCTGAGATCTACCCAACTATTTGTTTGGATCACCTGCCTAATTACCTGAATATTTGCTGTTCACTGTCTACTCGACACTACTCAACGATTTATCGTATCACTCACCTGCCTATTTACCGGCATATTTATTCGGCATTGTCTGCCTAGTCAACTGCCTATTTGCTATTGAGTATCATCTCCTGCCTACATGGATCTACTCAACTCTACTACTTGGCGCCATCGGCCTTGCCGGCCTATTCGACAGCCCACCTGTCAACTTATTAGGTGCGACGTCCCTATAGACCCAGATATGCGCGAGACGTCATAGCTACGCCAAACCCTCTGCAACTCCCTTCCTAGTCTAAGCTGAAGTTGAAACTTTGCATTTTTATTTTTTTGACCCTAACAAAACATACAGCAATTAAAAAAAACTGACCAATTATTTTAAAATAATTTTAATCAATGAATAAATTTAGTTTTTCTCAGAAAAGGGATGTAAATCTTGTATTAATGAGATCTATTACAGTATTTGTGCGGTTCTTTCTCTTATATAAACGTTTTAAAAAGTATTTTTTTTATTATTATTCGGCTTGTTATGTCAGTCAGTCATGTTCTCACAGCGCCATGAGCCCTACGTTATCTTTGTTAACAGAGCTACATTTCGTTAATTCAAGTTCCACTTTCAGACCATGCGATCTATAGGGCAGATGATGTAAAGGTCATCTGTTTCTGTTTACTAGTGCCTTTCAACTTTGGGCAACCCTCTATCATTCTACCTCCTAGAGTGTTTGTTTTTTTCTGTTCCTGCCATCAGTTAGCACATTATTTTTTAGAAGTGGTGTTTAAAAGTTTAAGCAATACTTTTTAGTAATTTTTACTAAACTTATATCAACTCAATCTGTCTGTCTGCCTTGTTAAATTTTTGAACATCTTTTTTCCATTTATCATTCTCGGATCAACTCAAAACTTTGCATAATTATTTATTGAATTTGACAAGACATGAATCAATAAACAAAAATATATAAAAAAAAAGTTACTTAATTGTTGGTGATTAATTATATTGTTTGATTACGAAATATGGGGAATAAATTATACTTAATGAGAGATGTGTGTGTGTGTGTGTATGTATAATATTTCCATAAGATTTTTACCAAATTATGCAGTATTTACTACCTTTACTATTTTAACTGTGAATAAACCTTGTTTTTAATGATTTAACTGTATAGAATTTAGCCTTTGTTTATGTAAAGGGAGAGTGATCCTTAAAGGATTACGGGCACGACATGGCCTAAATTGTGCCTAAACTCAAAACTCAAACTAACTTCCCGATCTCGGATCCAGTTGACATTGTGCATAATTATTCATTGTCAATAGCAATCCAAAAATTTACCAATTAATTAATCATTTGGTATTAATTTTTTTTTAATAGCACAAAGGTAGCTAAATCCTTTAATTTTCAGATAAATGGTTAATACTTAGCGGTTATTTTCCCTTATCTTCTTATCTTATATAATACAGACGGTACTTCAAAAAAAAAACAACATTACGTCGTACGCATGCATGTTAACCAATGACTTAAATCCTGACTGCCCCAGGCAACCCATTCCATGCTCTAATAGCACTAGGGAAGAAGGAGTATTTGTACAACTTTGTCCTAGCATATGGAACGAGGAGTGCGTCTTTATCTTTGTGTCTTTCTGAGTATTTTATTAGATTTTGTTTTTGTATTTGAAGATTATGGTTCAGTGTTTTATGTATAATTGCTACTTTAATTTTGAGTCTTCTCACCTGAAGACTTTCTAAATTTAGTGATTTTACTCTAGTCAAATGTGAATATTCGTTAGATATGAATCTCATGTCTCTATTTTGTGTCTGTTCCAGTTTCTTAATATTTTATATAATATTTTCTTGAGTTCCAAACAGAGGATGCATATTCTATTATTGGCCTAACCAAGGTTAAATAACATTTTAGTTTTATGTTCTTATTTGATTTATAGAAATTTCTTTTAATAAACCCTAATGCTTTGTTGGATTTTTTTTTTTATAGTTTCATCAATATGGGGATTCCATGACAGTTTTTCATTTAATATTACACCTAGGTATTTTGCGTTTTTAGTCTGTGTTATACCATGAATAAGATGGTGGAATTAATTTGTTTTAGTTTTTTTTTTTTGTTACTCATAATAACGATGCTTATTTAGAAATACACCACAAGTACATAAAACAACATCTGTCTTTAGCACAGTTTCTGCATCTCGGCTCTAGACTTGGGCGAAACTTTTCTTCTTCTTCCTATGTTTACATACTTCTCAGTCTAGTTTCTAGCAGTGCGCACCTTCTGCACTATCTTTTTAATGGCGGTGTGCAGAGCAATGTTATAACAATACTTTATTCTGTAAACTTATCTAAACTAAAAGCTAAGTCTCATAATGTATATCTCACCTTTTTAGAATTTGGAATATTTGGTTGGCCCTGAAAAGGACCGAGAGAAACAAGGAAAAAAAAATTTTTTTTTTTTTTTACATTTTTGTTTCCAAAAAAAAAGTTTTGATGAATCCGAGTCGAGCTTGTAACCTTTTGCCTATGACGTCACAGTAGCACCGCATAAACGATGTTTGGACGTCAAACTGCAGGTTATGACTCGCGACACTCCCACACTGTTGCCCTTTTCTAGAAAGACTAGCGGCCTGGAATCACTCTTCGTTTCTTTGTGCCTCTGGATGCGGATGCAGGCTTGCTTGGTGCGCGCCTTGAGGCTACGCAGTTGCTTCGTTGCTGGCGGTTATTCCTCCTTAATACTATGGCCTTCTGGGTTTTCTTCTTTTCGGTTTTTGACGGAAACGTGTCTTTCCGGTGCTTCCTCTGCTTTGGCCGGCTCTTCCTCCCCGCGAAAATGGGGACACCATCTCCTTCTACGTATATTCCGTATATCCCTGCCTTCACCGCCCACACTGGTCTGGCTATCAACCCGTACTTGAGGGCGACGATCATTGCCCTGCGGATGTCGGTGGTCTCATCAATCACCCCGGCCCTGTAGAGAATCTTGCGGATGTCTCTCAGTGTGGACCCTTTTGGGTTTTTCAGTGTTTGCAAGGCAATTAAGATAAGCTGGACCATCAGCATGAGAGTCAACTCCGGGCTCATTTCATCTTCGCTGACGCCCACATTGTTAAGGTTGCAGTCCTGGTGCAAAGCTGAGGTCTTGATGTCTTGGAAGTCTGGGCATTGGGAAGGAGGACGTAGAGGCTTTCGGCGGGCTGCTGTCGACATTCTAAGACGACATGCGTTGATGTTTAGGTTTGAGAGCTCCATTTCTGCGCAGCAGAGGCAGTCGGGCGACAGTTTGGGGGGTCGCTTGTATAATTCAGTGAAATAATAAAAAGTTTAAGTGGCGGACGTCTCAGAGGTCAACCTTTATATCTGCGACTACAAGATAACAGAGCCTGTATACACAAACCTACCATACAGTTTCATAATGACTGAGTACTAACAACACATCTATAAAAACTTCTGTGTCTATATGTGTCTCAGAACTGTTGGACTTTACTAGAAAATCAAGACATTGACCTTCAAAACTTCGGAGATCATGCATTTCGTGTGAGATGTAAGCCCATGTGGGTTGTATGCGGACTTGCAAATAAAGAACGCAAGAACTATGAACAATTTCTGAACAAAGTTTTTAAAATGTGTTGTTGTGCTACCATACAATTCGTTTGTTTTGTTTTTTTGCAATGTATCTTTTGGAAAATAAAGGGACAAAAAAAAATAACTATTACATATTGTTATAACCTTGCCTTGCACACCGTCATTCAAGTGTTAGTGCAGATGGTGCGCACTTGCTCGTGCACTGTTAGAGACTAGACTTCAAAGGAATGTTGACATTATGGAAACGAGAGTCCCGCACAAGTCAAAGAGCTTGTGAAGAAACTGTTCGAAAGACTGTTATGAAGTCCCATCCATCCTGTCCTCGTTGAGTTGCCCCATATAAACTTATTACAACTTAAATATAGAGAAAGCAACTCAACGAAGGTATAAATCATCGACACATGTTTAATACCAAATAAAATACCCAAACGTATCCGATACACCGCCATCGTTATAGGCCACACAGCTTCCTTCGCAACCACTACATCAAGTCGTAATTGAAGCCTCTTTATTCATGGCGAGCGTAGAATGGGAGCCTGCTAAGAAAAAGTGCAGGGGGCAATGTTATAATAATATTTTGCGACATCTATACACAAATGTCTCCTTTCTTTGCTGAAGTCATACATGTCCTTTTTAGAAAGGAGAATTTGAGTTATAAATGATTCTTACATTATTAAAAATGGTGTTCAACAAGTTTTTTTTTTTGACAAAGAATGCTGATGCATTCTTTTTTACTAATTTGTAAATAGACTCACAATGTTATAAAATATTATTCCGTCAATAGATCGTATAGATCTTATATTAACTTCGTACCAGTTCTAAAAGCGCAATTTACATATCTATGTTTTTAAATGTTAAGTATTTTCGTTTGGCCATAAATTATATCTCCAAAGGAGATAACTCACAATTCATTTTTTCTAACAGAACGTACATGTGGTTACATCTCTTATTACCAAGACTTCTCTATCTTAAAATTGGGGAATTGCTGGAAATACATCCGCCCTGCATCCCGTTAAATGACCACCAGACCGTCCCGCTGGCTAAAGGACTGACAAATACAGACACCCCCCCCCCTCTCTCTCTCTTCAGTTTGTGTGGGGAGGAAGTCACATGTACAAAAATAAAAAAATCTTGAGATCCAGATGTTGGGCCCCCCAACCGTAAGAGAAAGCCAAAAATGAGTTTTTTGTAAAGCAAAAAGTAGAAATAAATTTACAGTTGAACCTTTTTTTTTTCACCGGAAGAATGACAACTCCAGATGTTTTTTATTGGTTTTTTTTATACTATTTAAGCCTATAATGTTAGGAATTCTTTTCTTAATGTCGACCCTGGGAATTACTGGGCTTTGTCCAGGAGGTGGGGTTGTCTGCGAAGGTTTGATTTGTGATAGGACAAAGAAATTGTAAACATACAATATTTACAACAGATTTTTATTAAATTAATAAATTTTTACTATCTTAACTGTGAATAGACCTTGCTTTTAATGACCTAACTATAAAATTTGGTTCTTGTGATATGAAGGATTACGGGTACGACATTGCCCGAATTGTGCCGATGTGCCAAAACTGTTAAAGGGAAACTTTAAATGTATCTTTAATTAAAATGTTACGGGCCGGCACGTGTATCTGAGACATGGTTTTGCATAGCGCCTTTTATATACAATAGCATGCACAGTGCGCTGTGGTCATATCTCTTCTGTGGGGGGGGGGGGGGGGGGGGAGGGGATATCTAGAAGATGGTTTCCGTGCAGTCTTTAGGCACTCAGTAAACACAACTCAGTTCTAATCGGGACTCGAACTCGATCCCTATGATAGGTAGCCAAGAGCTTTATCCAAGTCTACTGTGTCACTGTGAGTAAATTTGTGGCATGGAGATTTAGTGACGGGACGCTGAGATAAAATTACATGAAAGTCTTGGGTTCAAACTCATTGTAGACTAATATGTTACTATATAGTATAGCACGTTGTCCGAATGTAATTCTTAAGGTGGTGCAGGCAAGGTATCTGTGATTTCCTCTGAATGCCAAAAGTAGACCAATGGTCAAGCAAGGTATCTGTGATTTCCTCTGAATGCCAAAAGTAGACCAATGGTCAAGCAAGGTATCTGAGATTTCCTCTGAATGCCAAAAGTAGACCAATGGTCAAGCAAGGTATCTGTGATTTCCTCTGAATGCCAAAGTAGACCACTGGTCTAGCAAGGTATCTGTGATTTTCTCTGAATGCCAAAAGTAGACCAATGGTCAAGCAAGGTATCTGTGATTTCCTATGAATGCCAAAAGTAGACCAATGGTCAAGCAAGGTATCTGGGATGTCCTCTGAATGCCTAAAGTAGACCAATGGTCAAGCAAGGTATCTGGGATGTCCTCTGAATGCCAAAAGTAAACCAATGGTCAAGCAAGGTATCTGTGATGTCCTCTGAATGCCAAAAGTAGACCAATGGTCAAGCAAGGTATCTGGGATGTCCTCTGAATGCCAAAAGTACACAATGGTGACAGAATAGTAGGTTGATCCCCATGCATACGTTTGTTATACAGTGTTGACATATTGACTTGGCTGAATTCATTAATTGATGTGGATCACAAAACTCCTACCATCGGTGAGGTAATCCCAGAGGAAATCCCAGTTGTCAATGCTCAGAAATTCACGGAGATCATCTGTGACTTCTGGGAAGTGGGGGGGGGGGGGAGTATATTTTACTCCAGTTACGTATGGCTTGGGAATAGCGTGGAGTAGTTTGGTGGGGAGAGGTCGACGTAAGGTGGGGGGCTGTCAGGGAAAGAATCTGACCCATCTGAAGTCGGACTTCGAGCATGGTAAGTGTGTAAGTACGGCGCTCTGTCTGTCTGCGGAGAGAGTGATCGCCTCGAGGTGGACGGCCTCGCTATGGGCTCCCCTCCAGAGGCTGTGATGGATGTCAAACATGCTGGAGTCGCGGTAACGCTTGTCGTGAACACTGATGAGGATCGATGCATACGCCACCTAGAAGGAAGCAGGGAAGTGAAAAGTGTCAAGGACGATGGCATTGGCGTCGAGGGGTCATAAACGGGAGGCAGAAGACCAATCAAAGCTGACATGGTTGGGCAATGTGCTACGTCGCTAAGTTGGCTATTCACGGTATCCCTCTCTGTAGTTCTCTGGACGTCATTACTCTCAGTGGTTGTTAAAGAGATAGAAGTGGTTGCCTCTGAGCGCATTACGCTTTGCGATGCAACGTCCGTGTTCTCTTGTCCGGGAACACTCACCTCGAACGACCCGTGGTCCGATCCGTTTTCAGAATGGCTATGTGGGAGCTGATTAGTTTGGACGCCAAGACGGCTGGATGTCGTGTTGTCATTTGTCACATTAACCGTCATCAGGGACAGTGTTTCTCCTGGATGTCTCCTGGCGCTTCTGTTGTTTCGAGCGTTTCTTCCATTTGAAAAGCGACCTAGTTTCCGTGCTTGCAGACGCATCCAAGAATTTCTGAAAAAAAAGCGCTGATCATTAATATCACAGAAAAAAGTCCTCAACACGCCCCCCAGAATCCTAACCATTTAGCGAAATATATGCAAGTCAAAAGTACCCGACAGACAAACAGAAAGACAGACAAGTAGATAGATGATAGATAGATGGATGATATATATATATATATATATAGATAGATAGATAGATAGTGATACATACAAAAATAGATAGATAGATGGATAGTGATACATACAAATATATATATATATATAGATAGATAGATAGATAAATGACAGACAAAGGGAGGTAATGCACTTACTTAATACAATGACATTTCGTGGCTCTGGTTAGACTCAGAAGCGTGGCAATGACTGTGAAAATGGAGATCACGATGGCGCCCATTAGCACCACGTTTTCTTTTTCCTCAATTAAAGATTTGGTTTCTGTAAAGACACAAGGAACCCATTATGAGATACAATGACCTTATCATCAAGTTACAAGGAACCCATTATGAGATGCAATGACCCTATCATAAGGTTTCAATGAACCCATTATGAGATACAATGACGATATCATCAGGCTACAAGGAACCATGGGCGTAGCCAGGATTTTTTTTCGGGGGGAATTCTTTTCTTCACCCCCCCCCCCCCCCCGCGAAAAAAAAAAAAGTTTTTATGTATGTATGTATGTATGTGTGTGTACATAATCTTTATTACATTCTGACCCTTCATTCTTTCGGAACATGTTTATTGTGCCCTAGAATTGGTTCTTCGCGTAGTTAGTGGAAAAATTGTTGACTCCCAGCCATTGCTAGTAAGGGGTCTGGGGGAGCGCTAAGGGCTCCCCCCAGCGCTAGGATGTCATTGCAACTCTTTTATTGCGTAATTCATTTTGTCGGAGAACATGTTCCGCAAACCTCATGCGACGCTCTGTCACAATCTTACTAAGGGGTCGGCTTCCAGTTCGGCATAGGATTTCCTTGATTTAGACCCCATCTCTATAACTGACTCCTAAAATCTGTCTTAGCCATCTTTGTAGAGCCACATTTAGTGCTTTTCAATTTCGGCAGATGACTATTCCCTGCACTTTATTTATGTAGCCCCGCCATTGGTAGAAATGTGTAACTTCTCTTTGTGGTGAAATAGTTAGTATTTGTTTATGTTTGTGTAACGTGGTGAGAATGTGTTCACAACATTGATTTAGTGTGCTACTGTCCAAGTCTCTTTCGTCAGTTCATGTGTCGTTCTAGTTTAATAAAGCCCTGTTTTAGGTTACTCTTCAGTGTTTCTTCATTTCTTATTACACTCTTGAATACGCTCTAGGAATTAGGTGACTGTAGTTTGCTTTAGATTTTATATCGAAAAGGGAAGTTTTATCGTCAAAATCATCTGTTGGGGGTTTTAAACTAAAAAATCTCAGGACTTGATTGTTGTTTTTTTTTAAATTCAAAACCCCATTTAGCTACGATCATAACATTTGGTAACTGTAGTTGCTTTAGAATAATATTGAAGATAGAGGTTTTCCACCTAAAAACGCTCTGTAGAGGGACTTTTAAACTCAAAACCATCTGGAGGAGAGGAGTTTAAACTCAAAACCCCCAATTGGCTTGGCTACACTCAAATAATTTTAGTGTGTAATTTGCTTTTTTATATTGAAGAGGTTTTTTTTAGCATCAAACCCTTCTGAAGGGGGATTTAAACTCAAAACCCCTTTGGCTACGCTCATAGATTTTAGAGTTTGTAATTTGCTTTTTTTTTATATTGAAGATGTATTTTTTAGCTTTAAACTCCACTGGAGGGGATTTTAAACTTAAAACTGAGTCAAAACCCATTTAGCTACGCTCATAACATTTTGAGTGCATAATTTGTTTTTTTTTTTTTCATATTGAAGAGGGGTCTATCGTAAATTTTGGAGGGGGTTTTAAAATTAAAATCTTCCTTAACTGTGTTTTTGGAATTTGGGGATTGTTGATTGCATTTTTGTTTGTTTTGTTTTATAGAAGAGGAGGATTTAACTGCAAAAAACCCTGGTAGGGGGTTTTAAACTCGAAACCTCCTGTTAGGTGGTTTTAAACTCAAAACCTCCTTGGCTGCGCTGGGTCAAGTGATGGTTGAGTATTAAAATCTCACCTAAAATAAAGAAAATCAAAGCAAAAACTCAATCACTAAAGTCCGTCTCTCCCCTCCCCCCGTGGGGGGGATTTCATTTCGGGGAGGGTTTGAACCCCAAACCCCCCCTCCCTGGCTACGCCCATGCAAGGAACCCTTTATGAGATGCAATGACCTTATGATCAGGTTACAAGGAACCCATCATGAGATACAATGACCTTATGATCAGGTTACAAGGAACCCATTATGATATACAATGACCTTATGATCAGGTTACAAGGAACACACAATCACATACAACGAACATATCATGAGACACAAAAAGCATATCATTAAGTATAGAGCACACATCATGACATACAATGAATACATCCTCAAATACAAGAAACACATAATTACCATTGCGGATTCCCTTTCCTTATAAGAATCGAACTTGCTATCAATTAAAATGTTCAGCACTTTTTTTCTTTTGACATGATTTGTGCTTTATTTCTTTTAAAGTTGTTTCTTAAGGAGGGGGGGGGGCAAGATAACCGCAATACATCTATTTGAAATGACTTCAACTCGACAATAGTATATCTCTGTGTACACGAACCGTCAGTAAATCATCCCCAATGGAAGTAACCCGTTTACAAGAAATGGCCAATACCAATGCATGCGCTCAATTCGACATCCTTTAAAAGACCTATCAGTGAAATCCTCGTTAGACACCTTAACCCTTAAAACGCGTGTGATAGTTTAGTCTCTAAACATCAGAATTTTAATTCCATTTTGTATGTATCATTTAAAATAACTCGGCGCTTTAAGTGTTAAGGCGATCCAGTACCTCCTCAACGTTGTTCCCTGCGTGAACTCCCTGCACTTACTAGGGGGCGGCCAAGGGTACTGGTTGAGCAGGCAGCGAGTGCAAAACAATATTAAAACGACACCTTTTAGCGAAAGTTACCAACATACAAAAGATAAGAGACCTGTGATATGTGTCTTATAAGAGACATGTAAATGATGCAGGTAAGAAACCATATGCAAATTAACTGTAACAGAAGGATGTTGTCTCCTTTTTTAGAATACCTCTATTCAAGTCAGAACTTCATGGAAGGCGGAGGAACCTGGACGCTAAGAAAAAAAAATTACTAGCTCATTGGCCACACACGGAAAACTCTAGTTTGACTGTTAATTTTGAAGTAAAAAAAAAAGAAATATATTTAAATTTGGTTAGAGATCTAGACCTAGGATTCTAGGTCTATATCCATTATCCCACATAGGTTTTTAAAAGGACTCTCGCGCTCTTGAAAGGACCTTCATTTTCGGGAAGTTACGTATGTAAGAGCTCAATAAATTAATGTTAAGGAAAATTGTGCACATTGTCTTCAAAGTCTAGATCTAAATGCTGAGCATTGGAATATTATAAAGTGTGCTTGATTTATACATTCGCTTAACCAGGATTCCTTATTGGGGGGGGGGGGGGGGGGAAGGGGGGAAACAACGGGCAAAAAAATGTTCCATTTATTTTTATGAGAAAAAACGATTCGCTCTCTCTCTTATCTTGTCAAATACAGACCGTTATTTCCAAAAAAAGAAGATGATTGCTTACTACTCGTGTTCCTAGGTCAATCTAGTCATGCCTGTTAACCATAAAGGAGGTATTATCTTTTTTAAAAAGTATTTTTAATGTTTTTCTTATTTAAAGTTAAAAGTATCTGGTCCAACAAAACATAAAATGGTTCGACTAGTTAAAGAAAATGCTAGTCAGTCAGTCAAGTAAAAACTGAAGTCATAAAGAAGCGGGTGGACTCAGACCAACAAATAGATGGATGGAGTAGAAATAAGCAAGGCTTTCACTTCCACCCTGCCACCCAACGACAGAACGTCTGTCACTTTCTTCCGCGACAAGACTTCTAGGTTGGGAGAAATTAGATTAATAAATAACTTGAATTGCAATACGTAAAAAAAAAAAGAAAGCCTTAAAAGTTATGGTCACCTCGAGTCCAGTAGGTGAAGGCTAGCCTTTGTTTACTGGATTCATTGCTGATCTCAACAACTGGAGACTGTATCCATACAAGGGTGACTGGGCTGAGTGACTTGATTGTCTTAGGAAAATGCTCAGAATCTTGTTTGGTGATGTTGTAGTGGTAGA